GTCTGATCAACTTGAGTGGGGACAAGCAAGGTTATTGTAGCCCTCAATGAGTACTACAAGTTCCATTAAGGCCCCAAGCCATGTTTGTCCCTATCCCTAACGGGATGCACCTTGTAACCCTAGGCCAATTTTGTGCCGAGATTTTTGTGTGCTCGTGTTTTCTTGCGAGCGGAGACAAATTCCAGCGGAAAAGCGAACTGTATCAAAGTGGGGTCGGGCGGGCGGTGCATACTGTATGGCACGGTGCGGCTCAGCCCGTCGGGGCAACCTGGCGATTTCCGGCTCTCGCTGCAGGAGACATGAAAAGGAACCGCTGATGTGCACGCCGTTGAGCGCTACCGAGCCACTCGCCGATCCGAACGTCGTCCAAAGAACGGATCTGCATCTCGATCTTGCCAATGATGGCAGAAGATCCGATCCCGATCGACGAGCTCGCGTCGAGTCCGGCGCAGAACCCTTTTTTCTCAAATTTCGACCTCGACCCTCTTGGCGGCGTCTGGCCGGGCGAGCCTCACAAATTGGCACCGCCGGATTGGACGACGGCTCTTCCTCGCCGCCCTGGCGGGCGTGTACAGAAGAAACCTCGAACGCTGTGGTTTTCTTCAGCAGACCATCATCCGTCACGCTAGATGCTGCTCAGGTCGATCTTGCCATTCCGATCAGCATACGGCCTCTATACACGCAGTCCCACACATTCTTCACAAGCTCCCATTGGCGTCCTTTTGCGCCCGACTGCCAGATTCGCCATGTCCACCTCGGCCCCTGGCTCACCGGAGCTTCCGCCAGCCAAGCGCATGCGATCGCGCTCGCCCGAGCAAACGACGTCGGAGCAGGCCGCCTCGACATCTGCCGCCGCATCTATGTCGGCCAACGCATCCACCGCCCAAGAGAAGCAGGCGCGCAAGGCTGATGCACGCCGATCGCGCCAAAAGCGCAAGGACTACGCCAAGCAGCTCACCAAGACGGGCCGCGAGCCGATCGAGTTCGACATCGAGAATCTGCTCGGCGTGCGCAAGGTGACCGACATCCTCTCGGAGGGCGCAGAGTATCAGAACAAGTTCGAGCGCGGAACCCGCCTGACGCTCCGGATCGAGTGCCTCGACGCTCACGGAGACGGTCTCGCCGTTGCGCCCGAACGCGACTGGGTGGTCGCCGTACCGCACGTGCTTCCCAAGGAGAAGGTGGTCGTCGATATCGTCAGCAACGAGAGGCTCTACTCCAAGGCGAAGCTGGTCGAGGTGCTCGAAAAGAGCGACACACGGCAAGACAGCCTGGTGCGCTGCAAGTACTTTGGCGACTGCGGCGGATGCCAGTATCAGATGATCGACTATGCTCGGCAGCTCGAGATCAAGCGTGGAGTGGTGGAGCGAGCCTTCTCGCGCTTCTCGGGCCTCGAGCCTGGGCTGGTGCCCGAGGTGTTGCCGACGATCCCTTCCCCAAGCCAGTACAACTACCGCACCAAGCTCACACCGCACTTTGAGCTTCCGTACGAGCTCCGGAGGGGCAGGAGATCTGGCATCCGGAACAACAATGCCAACGGAAACGGTGCCTCGAATGGCGACAAGCCCCAGTACGACGTTCCGATCGGATTCGATTGCATCGGCACCAAGAGGGTGATGGACATCGAAGAGTGCCCGATCGCAACCACGACCATCAACCGCGCCCTTCCCGCCGCCAAGCAAAAGGTGCGCGACGGCATCGAGAGCTTCAAGAACGGAGCCACCCTCTTGCTGCGCGACTCGCTTCGCACGTACGACAGCTTTGCCGAGGATCTCCTCGCGACCGAAACCGCCGAGCTCGCGGTGGAGCGTGAACTGGACACCGAGGTGGTCACCGACCACAAGGCGACGGTCAAGGAGCGCGTGCTCACCACCAAGTTCGAGTCGCCCGCCGGCACGTTTTTTCAGAACAACCGCAGCATCCTCCCGAGCCTGCTGGGCTACGTGCGGGAGCAGATCCTCCAAGCGAGCCCCGACGGCACGAGCGAATCGGAGCGCTACCTGGTGGATGCGTACTGCGGCTCGGGTCTATTCAGCCTGTGCCTTGCGTCGCTGTTCCGCGAGGTATCGGGCGTGGAGATCTCGTCCGAGTCGATCAAGTACGCCACCAAGAACGCCGAGCTCAACGGCATCACGAACGCCAAGTTCCTCGCGGGCAACGCCGAGGACATCTTTGCCAAGATCGAGTACCCTGCTCACCAGACCACGGTGATCATCGATCCGCCCAGGAGGGGCTGCGACGAAGAGTTCGTCCGACAGCTCGTCAACCTAGGCCCCAAGCATATCGTCTACGTGTCGTGCAACGTGCACACGCAGGCGAGGGATGTCGGACAGCTCGTCACCCGCGATGCGCGCTACAAGGTCAAGAGCGTCCGCGGCGCCGACCTCTTCCCGCAGACGCATCACGTCGAGGGTGTCTGCGTGCTGGAGCGCATCGATGCGTAGCTTTGGCTCAATGTCACTATCATTTGAAGCGGATGAATTGCAGTTCATCGTGTTTAGCAAAGAGAACTATTGAAGATTGAAGGTCGAGCGGGTTGAGGTTTCTGAGCTGAGGCGTTGAGAAAGGCCGGAACTCGGGTTTGGGAAGGCGAGCTGTGTGGAGCGGCTCAAAAAGCTTGACGAAGAAAAACGCCTCGGATTTTGAGCATCTGAAGAGTTCATGCGGCAGAGCCTGCTCTTCCGCTTACTCTCCCGACACCCATCACCGCTCACATCACACATTCACACGCTCTATACCCAGAATGGTCTCAGCACTGAGCCGCTCCGCGCGATACTGGGGCGTGGGCGTATCGGCCCGCTCTACAGCCACCGTGGGAACATCGTTTGCGACTCAGCGATACCTTTCGGCAAGCGTCCGACACCTCGACGAGCAGAAACCGCCCCACACCGGAAGCTCCGAAGCTGCCTCGAGCTCATCCTCAACAGCAGCCGAAGGCAGCAGTCGCAACAGCAGCAGCAGTGGCAGCACTGGCTACAAGCCGCCGTCAAGAGCAACGGGCACCTGGCCATTCGAGAGCAATGCCGAAACCTCCGAATCCAACGCGCAAGCGTCTGCTTCCGAGGCGTCGAGCCCAAAGAGCAATCCCTACGCTGGCCTGTTTGATGGCTCGGATCCATTCCCCAAAGTCGGCGACAGCAGCAGTAGCAGCAGCGGCTCACCCTCGACCGACCCGATTCAAGATGGCGCTGCTCTTCCCAAGACCGGGTCGTGGCTCACCGAGCAGCTCGACTCGCTCTCTTCAACCAGTCGCACCTCGCGCGTCATCGGCCGTTCCGCACAGCCCAACCCCAACCAGAAGATGTCCGAATCGGAGCGTCGCAAACACCTCGTTCCGCGCTCCGTGCTCTTTGCGGACGGAGAGGCAGCGAGGCAGTCGGACGAACTCCGGCCGCGCAAGCCATCCAACTCTCCACGCAAGCGCCTCGACCGCACACCGCTGACAAAGCAGGAGGCCAACGCGTTCATGTCGCTGCTCAACCAGGCGCTGGCCGGCACTTCCAGCCCGTCGTCGTCGGCGGCGGCGTCGATGCCGGGTGATGCGGCAGAGGATTCGTCGGCTCTGCCGTTCGGAAGCTACACGTCGCTGATCAGCAATCCAAAGACGCAGACGGGAAGCAAGGCGCTGCTGCAGGCATTCGCAAAGCGAAACAGGCTCCAGCGCTTCGAAGCTGCCAAAGCACAGCGCGCCAGGCGGTTCGCAAGGGAGGGTCTGGCGGCGCAGATCGATCCGCTCCTGCTCGAGGCGGGTATCGACGAGGCGCGCGAACACATCGCCATGTGCGAAAACCTCGCCGAGCTGCTCGACTTTGCCAAGCGCGAGGTGTGGGGCATCCGTCCCAACACTCCATCCACATCCGCCCAAGACTTGGGCGCCTCCACCTCGGACGCTACTACCGGGGCAGTTGAATCGGATCCAAGCAAGGCCACGATGGCGGCGCCAAAGTACGGCGAGCCAAAGTACGGCAAGGATACGCCGTACTATTCGTCGGTGCTGCAGCTTTTGTTTGTGGCGATTCGCGATCGGTACCGAGCTCCGCACGTTGCGCTGTCTCTGCCGCGCGTGACGCGCTCGCTCGGCATCGAGAGCTACGTACTCGGCGTGACGGGTCTGCTGTACAACGAGGTGCTCAAGACGCAGTGGGACTGGCTCGGTGATCTGCAGGGCGTAGTCAAGACGCTGCGCCAAGCACGCGAGACGGGCATCCTCAGCGCACCCCTCAAGCACGCCTCGATCCCACCAGGCTCATCAAGGCCGCTCTATGCCACCACCGAGGATGAGACAATCCGCGAAACGGTCGACCGCATCGCAAACGAGGTACGCAAGTTTGTCCTCGACCAGCAGATGGCCGCTCACCCCGCACTCAAGCGCAGACACATGTATGGCGGCGCACTCGATGACGTCCTCGGCGGTGCGGCACACGAGGCACAGATGCCCAAGACCGAACTGACCGAGGATTGGAGCCATACCTGGCTGCTTGCGAACGCGGACGAGGCATCGGCGCTGGCCGGTCAGCCATTCAGATTGCTTCAGCGCCAGGCGGATGATGCAGACCCTGGCCGAGCAAGTGGCCCTGCTCGCGGGTACCCAAAGAAAGCCATCCGCCCCGGACGCGACAACCGCGAACCCCGAGACAGAACTTCGCCGCGTCAAAGCTCACAGAGATACTAGCTCCCCACTCACACTGCAATGCACACTCGTGTCAAGCCGAGGAAAACGATGAGTTGGACAATGACAGTGGGACCTCGACAAGGAGGTGAAAAACAACCTGGCGGTGGATCTGCACACGCCAACTAGGGCGGAGCGACCTCGACACGACCAAACAAAGACAAAGACTAAAGAAACGAAGGGCGACAGATTAAGGGAGCGACTTGGCGGTCTTGGTAGCGAGCTGAAGGATGGCCTCGAGCTTGACATCGATAGAGGGGACCTTGACTGTGAGCGACGAGGCGATGGTCAAGGCGAGGCGCTCGATGAGTGGCAGGATGGACTGCTTGATCTCGCACACCACCTCGTCGACGTGGATCGAGTCGACAATCTCGGTGAGCTTGCACAGGAGCTCCTTGATGTCGCACAGCAGCGTCTTGACGACCTCCTCGAGCAGGTCGAGCGACACGCTGATGTCGGCCGAACCAGCAACACCGGCAGGAACCGAGCGCTCGTGCACACCGACGCTGGAGCCCTTGACGAGGAAGCTGGGCAGCGAAGCATCGGCGTCAGCAATCGCACGCTTGAGGCCAGCCACGATCCTGTCGGCGTCGATCGACGAAACCACACCCTGAACTGGAGTGAGCAGCTGCGAACGCTTGACGAAAGAGATGCGGTTCAGGTCGACGCTGGACAGGATCGAGCCAGGGATCGTGGTGACACTCGAGGTAGCAGAGTCGGCCGTGTTGAGCACGTCGCGCTTGATCTGAGCCACGGTCGACTCGGCGTCGCCAAGGACACCACCAGCCGTGCCGACGGGCAGAACAGCAAGGATGTCGCGCTTGGCAGCGGCATCGATGGCCGCAATGTCGCTGTCCGAAAGGGCGGACAGCGCAGCGATGGAGCGCTTGAGGACGGCGAGCTGAGCCACGTCGAGACCGTTCACCGTCTTCTCGGCGTTGTCCACCGCCTGGGTCTGCGCAGTCTGCTCCACGCCCGAGGCAACACCCGACTGCGGCAGAGCAGCGAGGTGCGCAATGGCGCGCTTGAGCTGAACCATGCGGTCGACGTCAAGACCTTCGACAGTATCGCCGACGCCCAGAGGAAGCTCGCGCTTGATGCCGACAACGCCGGTGATGCCGGCGGCGCCAGTGACCGCACCCGAGAGCGAGGTCACGTCGGAAACAGCCTGCACCGAGGCGACAAACGAGGTGACGCTCGACACGGCGTCCAGGCCGCTGACGAAGCCCGACACATCCGTGACCGTCTTGAGCGAAGCAAGCAGCTTGAACGAGCCAGGCACCTTGATGATGGCCTCGAGCACGCCCTCGATGCCGCTAATGCAGAGGATGCGCTTGACACTCTCGCTGCCAAACTTGGCAACATAGGCGGCGAGCTTGACGCCGCCTTCGACCTTGCCGATAGCATCGGTCTCGCCCGAGGCAGTAGCAACGAGCTCGACGACGCTCTTGATCTGAACCATGGCCTGGACAAAGGCAACGGGGTCCTCGAGCTGCTGGAAAGCCTCGAGAACGGTGACCGATTCGCCGATCTTGAGGATGGCCTCGAGAACGCACTCGATGCCGACGACGTCGTGGAGCGCCGCCACAACGTTGAGGTTGGCGAGGATCGAGAACACGTCGCCGCCGAGGACGGCGTCGAGGTGCAGGCTGGCAAGGAGCGAGATGAGAGCCTCGGCTCCGTCCACCTTGCCGAGGAGGCTGCCAACGACGCTCAGGTCGAGCGAGCCGAGCAGGTCGCGACGGCCGAGGACAGAGTGGGTGGCGGAAGTCTTGACACCGCCGACGCTGACGACACCGTGAGCGAGGGTCGAATGAACATGGCCAAGGATGGCGTTGACCTTGGCGGTGGCCTTCTTGGTGTCCTTGATCTCGGAAACCTTGGCGGCGGCCTGGATGTGAGCCTCGAGCGAGGCGGTCAGGGTGTGGAGGATGCCGGCGACGTTCTTGACACGGCCGGCCTCGACGTGGGCGCCGGCAGTGCCGAGTGCACTCAGCTCGACGCTGCGCTTGGCGGCCACAGAGGCGAGGTGCTGGAGCTTCTGGAGGTCCACGGCGTCGGCCTTGACGTTGGCGGCATCGAGCGCGTTGGCGTGGGCAGCTCCCTTTTGGACGCGAACCAGACGGTGCTTGGGGTTGAGCGCCGAGTCAACCGCAGCAGCGTTGGCAGCGCTGATGGCAGCGAGGATAACGAGGAGGGAGGAGGAGATACGCATGATGGAAGTTGGAGGAGGGAGTGGATCGTGAGGGGAAGACTTTGCAGAGGACGTAAGATCGAAGAAAGAGATCGAAGAGATGAAAGTCGGACTGGAGTTGCAGAAGGGCGGGAGAGAAGGGAAAGATGAAGGAAGGGGAGGTGGACAGGCGCAAGGGAAGGGTATGGAGTGGGGTGGAGTGGAGTGAAAGGATGGGGAGACTCAAAGGAAGACATGGCCGAGGAGAGGCCATATATGTACTATGCTTGCACCGAGGTCCAATGTGGTCGCGTTTGCATACATCTTCGCCGCCGTCGGAGCACCAGAGTCCAGCCATCTGTGCTATAGGACGCGAACAGGCACATATGTCGAGCCAGTCTGTCCATCAAAGTCGGTTGCGAGCGTGGCTTCTTCCCGGCTCAGGGTTCTGCACGTGAGCGAGCCCCTGTATCTGTGCGGTCTGTGAGTCTTGTCGATGACACTAGAAGCTTCGCTTGTCCGGGTTGCATCCCTTTGTGATTCTCGCGGAGGACCCAGCTTTGCAGTATGCACGCTTGACCTTGACTCAAAATGTCCGAGCTTCATGCTGCTCTTCGAGGGTACCGGAACCGGAAGAAGATCCACTTGAGCCTCGGTGCGTATAGATGCGCGCTATGCTGATCCCAGTATATGCCGCTTTCGCCCAGCAAACCGTCTGCATTGACCTCGTCTCGTGCAGGCGGAAGGCGATCGTCACATCCTGGACCGAAGCCGAACGAACAATAAGCTTTGCGATTTGCAGGAGCCCGAGCGGCGAGCGTCGTCGACGTATGCACCCTCGCTTAGCGAAAGGTAGCATGTCGAAGTCTTCCAGAGTAGTCTAGCGAGAGCTCGAGCCTCAGGGCCTCATCTGCACACGCAGAGGCGGTCTGTGGGGATGTGCAAGGAGCTTTGACCCAAAAGCCGGTGTGGCCATCCGGAAATTCTCCGCGCGCTGTCGCACTGGCCTCGCACCCTTCCAAAGTCACAACCACGGCCTGTGCGTGCCATCCAATCCGAGACAAAGACGCTGCGAAGAGCATCTGTAGCCCGCGATGGTTGTGGGCCAACACGCTCCCCGTGCGCGCCGGCAAAAACGGAACAGCTTAGATACGCGCATCTTGACTCGCGTCAAACTGTGCGCATTGTGTTGTGGCGGAATTTCATGCGCTGCACCCGGTGTGCATGACGCATCTCCGATCCAAGCTTGTTTGCCTCGAGCGTTCGAGTTTGGCAGACGTCAGCAGCTGCGCAGAAGCTTAGCGCGGTGGCGCCTGTGGGTCTTGCGGGACCGAGCGGGAACAGCTGCCGTCGGACGGGTCTTGCAGTACCCCTATCCGTCGCTTCCGTGTGGCGGAACTTTCTTGGTCTCTGGGCAAGGTGGTCTTTGCCACGCTGCTATGGGCACGGTTGCAGGCTAGCGTCCGCTCGTCCCCTCTCCCTCGTCGGCTAACCGTTCTGCTCTAAGTTCGTCTGAAGCCTTAAGCACTTCAGGCACGAGCGCCGCGAAGAAAGCACATGCATTCAAGAGCGTTGAAACAAAAGAAAGAGCGAATGTGATTAAAAAGCATGCATAGTGTGATGGTCTAGAAACGATAGTCAAGGTCAAGATAGCAGGAGTGCTCTTCCAGCCCACTCGGATCGCGCTCCGGCGAGGGCGTGGGCGGAGAGCCGTCGACTGCATCTTGCTCTGAAAGCACACACTGCGCGGTGCGGACCTGAGCGGCAGCACGATCAGCGTGCGAGTGGAGGTGGCCCTTCTGTCACGATACAAAGATACGCACAGACGACAAGACGTGAAAGCGGGAGCTTCCGGTGGCAGAAGGGCCGCTAAAAAGTTGGCTCGAGAGCAGCGGCTCACGCGACAAACGAAGAAGTCGTGCTGCCGGAGCCGAGTCCGGCTTTCCACGCCATGATGTCCGGCGTGGTGTAGCCGAGCTTGGATGATCGCGACTTGCGCTTCGACGAGATCGAGCTGTGGCGCGGACGCGCCGTCAAGAGTTCCGAGTCACGAGCGTGGTCTCCTCCGATGGAAACCGAGGCTGCATGATTCACAGAGGCGCTGTTGATGCTGTCAAAGCGTCCGTACTTGCCGGACCTCTCGAGTCGAAGCACCTTTTCGCGCAGCAGCAGAAGCTCCTCGAGCTGGGCATCGTACCTGCTCGCCTTGTCGATGCGACTGTTTCGGCTGCGCGATTCGTGGACATCGCTGCGCGACCTCTGCCGAGGATGGCGCATGCGCTGAACCATGCGCTCCGTCGCAGGTGAAGACTCGCGCTCGTCCATGCCGTACGTCCCGCGGCGCGTGTCGATGCTCGATTCGTACAGCATGGACGCAGAGCGCAACGACGCTGGCTGGATCGACCGCGAGCCTCCGGTTGCAACCGACGACGGAAATGCCACTCGGGATCCTGCGAGGCCGATCGAGGATGGCACCTGCGACGCGACACGTTCGTGCTTGAGCAGCAGAGCGGGGCTCATCGTTGATGCTGGCGAAGTCACGTTGCTGTGCGAATCGCCTTCGCCGGAGACGTCGAGCCGATTCTCGCGGCCAGCCGACGGCAACCCACTTGCAGATGGACCCAGCTGCCCATCGGCTGATGCTGCATCGGGCTGCGAGACTGCAGTCGCATACCTTTCGAGATGAGGTCGTTGTTCACGATGCTCGTCATCAGCACCGGGATCAGGTGGGGTGAAAGCCACATCGGGAATATTGCTCGAAACGTCTCTCCTCAACGCAGGGCGAGCAACGCCGGCAAGCACTTCCCAAGCCTTCCGACGCGAAAATGGGGACTGCGGGCGTCTCTGACGTCTGCCATCCCTAGTCTGTGGCGCACTCGAGCTTCCGGCTCGTGACCTGGAACGAGCGAGACGGATGGCAGCGAGCGTTGCTCCTTCCGAGTCCGACCGTCCGCTCGTCTCTTCCATGGAGGTGCTCGACGCTTCGGCCAAGCCAGTGAAGTTCATCTGGCGCCTCCTTCTGGCAGCGTGAGCCCGCCCCATGCTGCTGGACGAGAACTCGTCAGAAGAGTAGCGAGAGCTGTCTGGTCGCGCATACGGCGCCGATCGTCTCCTCGGGCGTGGTCCGCTCATCTCGAGCACCTCTGTGTCGTCCTGCGGCATCGTTTCGCGAAGCAACTCGGTCACCGAGGCATCCGGCTCGCCAAACATGCGCTGGCGTGCCAAGATGGTCCGCAAGCTCTCACCTGGCGATTCGAGTGCGCGCAGCGCAGCCAAGCTCGCCTGTACGCCCGTATCCGCATAAGGTGCTGGTTCGACCGAATCGACGCGCCCTGCAAACGCCTCGCGAGCAGGCGATGTGAGTTTGCTGCCGGATCTCGACATCTCGAGCCTGCTCAGCTCGGCATCGTCGACGTCGGCGATGCCATCTTCCTGACCCAGCCGCTGAGGGTCGACATCTCGCGGCTGGGAGAGCGCTCTGCGTAGAACGTCGGTGCCTTCGTTCGACGTCAGAAGAGGTATCCCTTGGAAGCTGGCCACGGCCGGCGATCCAGCGACTTCGGTCGAGCTCCAGCTGAGTCTGGGTCCCGCAGGCGATCTGAGCGGAAGCGGGTTCAAGCTCGACCGAGTCTCGTAGAATGCCGAGGGCGACAGAGGCGGCCCAGTGCCGCCATTCGCCAAAGCGGCAAGCGGTCTTCTGGGTCCCATGGCGTGGAACTTGTTCTGCATCCTTCCTGTGGGGATCGTCGGCAGTGGTCGAGTGTACGCGGAGGGCGACGATGCCGAAGCCACGCTAGACCGTGAAGACGACCCGCGGTGGGCAGCTTGAACCGTGGGAGCCGTGTGATCGTGACTACTACTGGTCCACTGAGTGGGAGAGGCCGCAGCCACCATGCCCATACCCATGAGCATCAAGGGCGAGAGGTGATCTCGAGGTGGGAGGCCGTCGAGCTGCCTCGGTGGCTGCTGTTCTAGGCTGCCATACCGACTGTGCATCTCGGCAGTGACAAAGGAGTCTGCGCCGTGCGACGGATCGCGGCGATCGGACGTGTGGTCTGCCGAGTAGCCTCTCGTGCGGCCAGGAATGCTGGGAAGAGGGCGGAAAGGCTTCATGCTACCGTCGCTCGTCGACCGGAACGATCGCACGGACCGGAACGATCGACTCGCGTCGGTCAGGCTGAGGTCCCTAAAGTGCGGGCTGACTTCATGTGCTGACGGGGCACCGTGAACCATGGACACTGATGGCGAAGACAAATCCGGCACGCCTCCGACACGGCGCGGCGCAGCTGGACCAGCTTCCTCTTCTGACATGGGTGACAGCGGTGAGGTGATGGCGAGCGGTGACACTACCGGTCTCGTGTATGCCGTGCCGGCCGGATAGAACGACTGCAAATCCGGATGCTGCTCGTCCACCGGCCCTCGAAGCGACGAGTCCGAGCTGATCTTGGGCGCTACCACCGACTCGCGATCCGAAAGCAGGATCTCCTTGGTGCCTGAATCCGACCCGTCAGACAGGCGTCGCGGCACTGCGGGAGGAGGCGAGAGCGCGAATCCGCCCGGTCTACCAATGCCAGTCTGGCGGTCGAGTCCAGACACACTCGTCGGCGCTGTCGATGTCGGATTGTAGGTATGCGATGCTGCGGTGCTCGCCATGCTGTTCGGCACCGCAGACGCAGTATCTTCGCTGCGCTCCAGGCTCGCTTCGCTTGCCGATAGTGGCTGGGGCGGCAAGTGGTAGCCGGATCCCGTCGAGCTGTCTGCAAGCGCCGCTTCGGTATTCGAGCCTGTGGAGCCTGATCTCTCTTTCCCAGGCGTCGTGTTTGGCTTTTGAGAGGGACGACGTGGCCTGCGGAGCGGAGGAACCGGTGCAGGCGGGAGTGGCGGAGCCAGCGAGGTGAACGAGGTCTGGGACGAGTTGCTTGTACTCGGACCTCCATAACCCCCTCCCATCATGCCCGTTGGTGTATCGACCACCATGCCGATGACATCGACCGGCGAGCGTTCAGCTTGGATCGGTGTACGTCGTGTCGTATCGATAGGGTCGACGTGGCCGGTCGAGGCGGCTTCCGACTGAGACCGGCTGAGTCCGAAGCTAAAGACGCGCGCAGCAGACGGTCGTCGAGGCCAGATCCACAGTCCGCCGGCGTCTTTTGATCTTGACTTGACGATCTCCACTGGAGCATCATGTACCAGCTCCTTGGGCGACGCTGGGTCCTTGGCTGTAGATGTTTGCAGCTCCGGTTCAAGATCCACCCAAGCAGCGTCGTCCGTGGCGTGGACGGGGGCCAGGGCTGCCGCACGACCCTGTTTGGGCGCCTGCGCTTCGGCCACGATTCCTTCCGACCCCTTGCGCTTGAGCTGGTTTTGTTTCCACCACGACGTTCCGGCTAGGCTGCTAGGTGCGATGGCTCTGCCCTTTGCGTTCTTGACGGCGGACGTCTGTGGTGCCTTGTAGCGCGCACGAAGGCTGCCGTTGGAGCTCGTGTAGCTCCTCGCCGAACGGATACTACGAGCCGTGTGCACTGAGCGTCCGCTCGCTGGACGCGACAAGTCCATGGCTTCTCTCGGACTGAGCCGGCTCGACTGTGCCTCGATCCCGGTTCTTGGAGCAGTCAGACTCAAGCCGCGAGGACCAGTCGCCTGCGTCTGAGCTTCTGTCGCAGACGACGGATCCGCAGCATTGCCCACGCGTGCGGCTGGCTGGGTCGCACGGCTCGCTGATTGCGATCGAGATGCTTCCACACCAGATCGACTGGCGTTGACCAGCGAGATGCTTCGGAGCCGACTGCGCATGCTTCCCGCGCCCGACGCACCACTGTGTGGCTGCGCCTGCACGGTGACCATGTGTGGCGCCGCTGTTGATGCTTCGGCGGTGCGCGTGGCGATGCCACGCAGCCTCTCAATGAGGCTAAGCGCCCTCGGCCTCCTCGCCACGCTAGTCGGCTGCGGATCAAAGACTTGATCGATCGAATGCTCGTGCAGCTTGACTTCGGGACCGCGACGCAGCTGTTCGACCTCCCTGCCCACCGACGAGGTGCCGGATGCGGCTGCATCCGAGTGGATGGAGCGCAGCATGCTCGATCGTCGACTCGGCGCCACTGGCGCACTCGGCTCCTCGTACCGATCGAACGCGCGATGCACGATCACTGTCGAAGCTGACGCCGACTCGCTGCGACCATCTTGCTGCGGGGGATTGACGTTGGCAGGTCTGTGGTCCGCATGGTCGCGCGACAAGGAGGGATCGCAGTCGGACGAAGCCGCTGCAGCCGAAAGCAAGCTGGTGCTCGACTTTTGGTGCGATGGCGCCGTCTTTTCTCGCCGCTTGGCGCTCGCCATGCTCGCAAGATACGAGTCAGCAGCACTGGACGGCACTTGCAAGCCCTCGTTGGAGGAGAGCGAGTGGCGCGCATTTGGCCAGACGCGCGGCCGTGGTGGTCGGAGCACCGAGACACTCGCGCCGGGCTGGATCGAGTCGCCGCTCTCCGAGGCGGTATAGCTGAAGCGGTGCGGGTCGAGCGGCGTGGCGTAAAGCGAGGATGTGCGACGTGCCGAGTCGGCGCCGCTCTGCGTGCCGCTGCTCGTGGTCGGGTCGCTGCTGCCAAAGGAGAAGCGGCTGGTCTCGGATAGGTCTGCGGGGCCAGGAGCGTTCGAGGGCATCTCGTCGCTCGGCCGGTCGCGCAGATCCGTCCATTCGGACTGCCAGCCGTCAGGGATCGACCGACGCGGCGAGCGAGTCCAAAGATCAGAACCCTTGTGCACCTCCCGTCCCAAGTCACCCGAACTGCCTTCAGCGCTACTTCGTGTTTGGCTGGAGGATGGATCTGAGCTGTCGAGCTCGAATGCTCCATGGCGGCGTCGCAGCGAGCCTGAGCCGAGGCCGGCCTTTAGTGCAAGCGCGAGGCTCGGCGAGATGGGTACAGGTGCATGACCGTGATCCGACGGCGGCGTGGCCGGGGCGCCAGCATGACCGTCTGTGCTCGCGTGATCTTTTACGGACTCCGGTTCTTCCAAGAGCGGCGGATCGCGCGGGGTAGCACTGACGCGATGCGCCGACTTGCGCCGGATGGACTTGGCGTCTTGCACTTCGGCCAGGATCTTGGAGTCGGGCCGACTACTCTGTGCGCCCGTCGTTGCGCGAGAGTCGTCTGCAGGTGGGGCGTGTTGTGGTGATGCCAAGGCAGACGGAAGGAGTGGAGCCGGTCTGGGGCCGTATTCGGACTGGTCGGGACGGCTTCGAATAGGGCCGGCCGAGCGCTGGCGCTGCTCCTTTGGAATGAAGTGGTGGTGCGGATACGAGATGAAGTCGGTAGATGCAATGGAGCCGCGACGGCCCAGGAAGCGGGACCGGGGTCGCTTAACCCACCCCGACGCCGAGGTGGGATAGTGCTGCGACGCCTCGGCCGGTTCCTCGTCAGCACGTGCGTAGTTGTGTGATCCAACCGAAGACGGATGGAAGGCAGGAGCGCGCGACTGGGATTGACCCATGTTGGGCGTCTATTAGCCGGATGCCGCGCTCGGGCGTCGTGCCAATGTCGAATGAAGTTGCGATCCAGTTCAGGCGGCTATCAAAGCAGCCGAGTTCATGGCGGTCGAAGTCCAAGGAGTGAGTTGAGATAAATGGCCTTGAAGCGAAGGCGATGGGACCAGCCCGAAGTGATGAAGCAGAACGGCCGTGCGAAGAAGCGAGGGTGAGGTCGAAGGACGAAACGGCGGAGCGTTGGAGGCAAAAGATATAGAAAGATAGAAAGATAGAAAGATAGAAAGAGAAGCAAGGTCGCGACCGAAGGAGTGGTGGAGCGGTCGAAAGAGTGGATGGATGGCGTCCCGAAGCGCAGTCAAGGGCGAGGAGGGCGCCGAAAGAGGCAGGTGGAAGGGGCCATGGATGGAATCAGCTCGACAGGGCGAGGAGCCGAGCCGAGCCGAGTGCCGATCCTACGGCGGAGTTGAGAGGGAGGCAGCGCGCAAGATTGCCTCCACCCGGTCGAGGAGGCTAGATGCCTAGCTAGCCGAGAAATTCATGCGCATGCTGCTGCTCCATGCGTCCAAGTGAGGGCGGATGGGCGGCTCTCGATTCGCTGCTCGGCCGGCGAGGCTCATGAGCATCTCACCAGCACAGGCGGTTCGGCGATGAAAGGAGGCGGACTGGGCGAGACGAGTCTCAGGAACTAGCCGCGCTGGACGCTGCAAGCTGTTGCAGCAAGCACAAGCGAGCGGAGGGTGCAGCGGCTGCGTCCATTGTCACGAGAGCGGCTGCTGGCGAGCACAAGGAGCGATCATGCCGGATCGAGAGCGAGATGTCCGGCCAGGTGCCGTTGTGCAGCGGCGGCAAAGAGCAGCAGCAGACAGGCTCCGTACGATGCTCACGGCTGAATTTGTTTGTTGCTCTGAGCCTCGCTTACGAGCATGCATGCATCCATGCCAGCCCGGTCGCAGTCTCGCTGCAGTCAGAACAATGTTGTTAGGCGTCGAGGCCGGGCCGGAGGAGAGGGCTCGAATGGGCTGTACCATGGCCGGGGGCAAGGTGCAACATCTACCCGCCCGGCCGCGTCTTGGCCAGACAAAGCCAAGCACAAGCGTTGGACGGCAGCCTGTACGCTTGACGACGTCGGCATTGCAAGTGGCCTCCGGGAGTAAGTTAGCGGCAGGCGTGGCGAGGGAGGGCGTGCATGCATCTATGCATTCCAGCGTGGTTTGGGGCCATGCAAAATGCGGCTCGAAACTGGACAGGCGGCATGTCTCAGAACGGGGGTCTGGCGAGACAAGGCCCAACAGGGGCGGTATCCTTCGCGTCTGAAGCGGAAGCTTGTACGACGCGGGTCGCGTTTGGACTGTACGACCAGTCACGCACGAGCTTTTGGGGACAAACCAAAAGCACCACGGGCAGCCTCGGGCGCGGGGCGATGACAGGCTGGGCTTGAATCCGTCAGCGCCGAGAGCGGCGCAGCGCCCAGCAGTGCCCCAAGATGGTGGATCGTCATCCAACAATGCTGCGCGCCGGCTTAACAGTGCCAAGCTTAGAGGATCGACCTAACACTGGCGAGCATTCGGCACCCGATGGCCGCTTCAAATCGGCTCTGAGGGCACGGCGCGGCCCTTTTCGACATGTCGCGATGGACAGACAGGGTCCAAGGTGGTGGAGTGCGTGTGGGCCAGAGCTCGAGAGCGGGTCGAGCTTGGCAGCTGCATGCTGCGTGCTGCACGCTCATGGATCGCCGTACGGTTAGCATGGCGACGTTGCTCGCTTGCTGCCTCGAGTTGAGCCCACCCAGCCACGCATGCACACATGCACGCCCCCTCGAGACCCTCATGCGCGCCAACGTCCGTAAGCCCGCGTCGGCCTCCAAGCCCTGATTTGCACGCGATGCTACCCTCGTGCCGCTGCCTGGAGCTGGGCTCGGCATCGTTGGCCATGACGCATACACTTTTGTGTGCCGGCAAATAGACTCGGTTCCGATCGAGCGCGCTTGTTGACAGCACTGGGTCAAGAGGTAGAGGCGCTTGCCGTCGCTGCGTCGCTGCGTGCAAGGCATGCCAAATTCACATTCCCACCTTTGGGTTGCGCTTCCCGCTCGGGGCGGCATTGTTTGGTCTGCGCTGCACCTGGCAACCTTGGCGCCACCAAGCGTCGCACTTGCGGCTCCCTGTCAAAAGGGTCCGTGTCTCAGTACGCCCTTGGGCCCCCACCGTGCCTTTTTTGGCCAACTTGAGGCTGGTGGTGGTTCAAAGACCCACATGCTAAGCCCCTACGTGTTGTGCACCTCATCGTCTCTTTTGTCTTTCCCCCACCACTTCGACTCCAGCTCTTAAGGTCGCGCATTCATCCGTCCTTCCTATCGTATCGTCCGCTCTAGCCACGCATCGAGCTGCTTCTGGCGCTGTCATCACGATGACTTCGGCAAGCATGCGCAGGCTGCCCATGCGGATGATGGAGCATCACGCGCCGCAGGATGAGAACGCCATGCCAGCAGGCATGTGCGCTCTCCAGGCTGCCGCTTCCGTCTCGCCATCGCGCGTCACCAAATCGGCGCACACCCGCTCGCCCAGCAAGATGCCCACGCTCAGCGACATCGCAGCACGCCTCAACCTCGACAGGGACGCCGCCACGCCCACCACGTCGCCAGCCAAGCAGCTGCTCGCCAGCCCCGCCGACGCAGCACGTCCCAGGCTCGAGCTCACCGGCAGAATCACGGGCTCTCCCAGGCCACTCGAGCTCGCCGACCGCAAGAGCCCGCTCATCGCCTCGCCCACCAAGCTCGACAGCGATGCAGCAGTGTGTCTCTCACCCACGGCGCCGTCGTCGGGTGCGTGCTCGCCCACCAAGCGCATGCTCGCCAAGGGGCTACCGAGTCTAGAGGAGATCCGCGATCGCATGTCGCGAAAGGGACTGTCGGTGTCAGCAGAAGGCGGCAGCCCCAATCTGCCTTGTACGCCTCCGTCGCCCACCAAGCAGGCTGTCGATACCAAGCCGAGCACCGCAGAGCCAGAGAAGCAGCCGACATCCAAGGTGGCGCCTAGCAAGCCGGCTCTCCAGCTCGCCACGCACACAGCGCCGCTGCACAAGCCGAGCGCGATGGTCGCCTCAAGCTCGGTGAGCGCCACCAAGTATCCGCTGCAGCACGAATGGACGCTGTTCTTTGATTCGCGTGCCGGCGGTCCGCCCACGCCCGGAGTGGGGCCGGAGGCTGTGCCGCCGACCACGCCCGTGCTGAGCACGTCGTCGTGGGAGGCGAGTCTGCGCACCATCGGCACGTACGCAGCGGTGGAGACGATGCTCGGCTGCTTTTCCAAGCTGCATCGACCGTCGCAGCTGGAGCGCCATACGAGCTACCACCTCTTCAAGGACGGCATCAAGCCCATGTGGGAAGACGCACGCAATGCCAACGGCGGCAAGTGGACCATCACGTTTCGTCAGCGCAATCCGGCGCTCGTCGATCGCACCTGGCTCTGGCTCGTGCTGGGTCTGATTGGAGAAGAGCTGGATGGCGACGATGAGGCGTGTGGCGCCGTGTGCAGCGTCAAGCCGCGCGGCGATCGGATTGCGCTCTGGATGCGTGACCGCTCCGATACGGAGAAGGTGAACCGCATGGGTAGGAAGCTCGTGGCGCTGCTCGAGATCGGCAAGGAACCAGGGATGTTGGTCGAGTTTTCGGCCCACTCGAGTCGAGATGACAAGCAGGAGGGACTGTTTAGCGTCAACAATGCCGTTCAGCAGCTGAGGACGCCGACGGTGACCACGTTCAATGCGGCAGCAGCAGGGCTTCCCGAAGCTCCGCATCGATTCGCCTCGGCCTCACCCACCGCCTTCGCCAGTCCCGCTTCGCCCAACAGACACGCTTTTCGTCCACCGCCCAGCCCGGGCGCAGACACTTTGGGCTCCGGTCAGTTCGCTAGGCTGGCCGGCCAAGCAGGCTCGTCGGGCTCAGCCGCCATGTTCGGTCGCTCCCCCAACGGCCCCAACGGTGGCGGTGGCTTTGGAGCACTGGGCCAGTCGCTCGGTCTTGGGCTGGGGATTGGCGTCAATACGTCGCCCAGCCTCTCGCCGAGTCCCAACGAGGCCAAGAGGAGCGACGCAGGTGCAGCCATGTCGTGGCGATCCAACCGCACCACCAGCCCCACTCGGCAATCAACCACCTCGCCCTCCAAGGCCACATGATCCTCCCCATCCCAGCGCCCACGAACGCTCTCTTTGCTCTCTCCTTTTTCGCACTCGCCTCCCACTCGCACTGCACTTTTCTCGACCCTCTCTCTCTCTCTCTCTGTATCGCACGCTCGTTTGTTTGCTTGTGGCTGCCCGCAAAATTGATGCATTGACGTCGACACGAGCGTGTTCGGAGGGCTAGATTTTGACGACGAGCTTGCCCGTGGTCTTGCGGCTCTTGATGTCGGCGAAGGCGTGGCGCAGACCGTCGGTGGTAAAGGCGTACTCGTCGTGGATGTTGATCTTGACCTTGCCCGACTGGACGAGCTCGAAGAGTTGCGCCGAGTAGCGTTCGCGCTCCTCGCGCGTCGCGACGTAGTTGAACAGCGTCGGACGACACACCTTGAGGTTCTTGGGCGAAAGCTTGAGCGGCGCAAATGCAGGGACGGGACCGGAAGCATTGCCGAACGTAGCGATGGTTCCTTTGCGCGCGGCGATCTCAAAGTTGGCTTCCCACGTGTCGGCGCCAACGCCGTCGAGGATGGCATCTACGCCGTGGCCGGAAGTGATGTCGCGGATGGCCGAGATGTACGCCTCGGGGTTCTCCTTGTTGTACAGCAGTGCGTGGTCGGCACCGTGCGCCTTGGCCAGCTGGCACTTGGCCTCGGTCGAGGTGACGGCAATCACATTTGCACCGAACGCCTTGCCCATCTGGCAGAGGAGGAGGCCAACACCGCCCGCGGCGGCAGTGACGAGGATCCAATCGCCCTTCTTGACGGGTGCCGATTCGGTGAGCAGCGTAAGAGCCGTGAGGCCCTGCAGATAGCAGGCGGCAGCGGTGCGCGTGTCGATGTCGTCGGGAAGCTTGATGACGCGCTCGGCATCCAGCAGCTGCTTCTCGATGTACGAGCCTCCGCCGTACTGGACCACGCGATCGCCCACGCGCACCGAGGTGACGTCCGGATCCACCGCCTCGACCACACCCGCCGCTTCCTGGCCGATCACGATGGGCGTCTGCAGCTTGTACAGGCCGCCAAAGTGGTACGTGTCGATCATGTTGACGCCGGCATACTCGTTGCGAACCACCACCTTGCCCGAGCCGGACAGCGTGGGTGCAGGGACGGGTACCACCTGCACGACGTCGGGCCCTCCCTGCTGCTCGATCTGGAGCGCGCGAACGGTCGACATGGCGCGAAGGGAGGCGTTCGATCGTGTGGTAGTGCTGAGCGGAATTGAAGAGAGATGGCGAGTGAACAGGCCGAGTCGATGCGACATGACCCAGCGGCGAGGTTGATATGGTCGTAGGGTAGAAGGCAGGGCCAGGCGCTTGTTTTAAGCGCAACTGCGGCCCAAACTCGAAAGTCTCTATTCCCGCACAAAGCTCAGCAGTTCGCACTCCAACGAGTCCGCGGCAGTCGCGGATCTTAGACAAAGTGGAGTTGCCCCGTGCGCAGGAACGTTGCAGCCTCATCGCCGCGGACCCTTGGAACGACCCGTTGGAGGTCCGTTCGATGCGCAACTTCATGCGTCGCCCGCCGGCAATCTGTGCATTGTCCTTCCGCCATTCCATCAGCAAGCCACTCTTCGATCTCGAGCACGAGCATGGGTACGAGCATAATTCAAACGTGTACGATTGGCACAGTAAAGCAGAGCAGAGCATCGATAACATGGGCCAGGAGGAACAGCTAAATCCGAGAGCAGACAAAGCGACGCCGCGGAGGGGGGCCCCGTCTACTTCTTGTCAAACGCTTCGGTCTTCTCCTTGATGTGGTCGATGACCGAAGGGTCAGCCAAGGACGAGAGGTCGCCGAGGCTGTCGGTCTCGTGCGAGGCGCACTTTCGGAGCAGACGACGCATGATCTTGCCCGACCTCGTCTTGGGCAGGTCCGAGACGATGATGATCTTCTTGGGCGCCGCAAAGGGGCCGATGTTGCGGCGCACCTGGATGACGAGCTCCTTGGTCAGCGCATCCTCCGAGTCGTAGCTGAACTCGGGCTTGAGCGTGACGTAGGCGGCGATCGTCTGGCCCGTCACCTCGTCCGGGATGCCCACCACGGCCGTCTCGGCCACACCCGGATGCTGGATCAGCGCCGACTCGATCTCGGCCGTCGACAGACGGTGGCCCGACACGTTGATCACGTCGTCCACGCGACCCTTGATCCAGATGTAGCCGTCCTTGTCGCGCGCAGCACCGTCGCCCGTGAAGAAGTAGCCCTTGTAGGCGCGCATGTACGTGTCCAGGAATCGCTGGTGGTCGCCGTACACCGTGCGCGCCACCGACGGCCACGGCTGGCCAATGGCCAGCACACCCTCGACGTTGTTGCCCTCCAGCACCTCGCCCGACGTAGGGTCGAGCAGCACCGGCTTGATGCCCCAGAAGGGGAACGTCGCCGAGCCCGGCTTGGTCTTGGTCGCACCGGGCAGCGGCGTGATCATGATGGAGCCCGACTCGGTCATCCAGTACGTGTCGACAATGGCGCACTGCTGGCGGCCGACGTTGTCGTTGTACCAGTGCCACGCCTCGGGGTTGATGGGCTCGCCCACCGAGCCGATGACGCGCAGCGACGACAGGTCGTGCTTCTTGACGTGCTCGTCGCCCAGGCGGCGCAGCAGACGGATCGAGGTGGGCGCCGTGTAGAACTGCGTGAGCTTGTGCTGGTCCACAATCTCCCAGTAGCGCGACGGCGACGGATACACGGGCGTCGACTCAAAGATGAGCGTCGTCACGCCGTTCATCAGCGGGCCGTAGACAATGTACGAGTGGCCGGTGATCCAGCCGACGTCGGCCATGCAGGCGAAGCGGTCGCCCTTGTCCGGGTGCACGTCAAACACGTGTCGCAGCGTGAGCGCCGTGCCGAGCAGGTAGCCTGCGGTGGCGTGCACCACGCCCTTGGGCTTGCCGGTGGAGCCCGAGGTGTAGAGGATGAAGAGCGGATCCTCGGAGCTCATCGACTCGGGCGGGCAGTAGGCGCGCTCGCGCGAGCACGCCTCGTGCCACCAGATGTCGCGCTTGTCGTCAAAGCTGACCTGTCCGCCGGTGCGCTTGACGACGACGACGTGCTCGACCTTGGGGCACTCCTTGAGCGCCGCATCGACGATGCTCTTGGTGGCGATGTTGCGCCCGCCGCGCTTGCCCTCGTCCGTGGTGATGACGACGCGCGCGCCGCAGTCGTTGGTGCGGTCGCGCAGCGAGTCCGCCGAGAAGCCAGCAAAGACGACCGAGTGAATCGCACCGATGCGCGCACATGCGAGTAAGGCGACGGCGGCCTCGGGGATCATGGGGAGGTAGACGATGACCGTGTCGCCCTTCCTCACGCCGAGCGTCTTGAGCATGTTGGCCGCCTGCGAGACCTGGACGAGCAGCTGCGAGTAGGTGATCTCCTGCGCCTGGCCGGGCTCGTCGGCCTCGTAGATGATGGCGACGCGGTCGGGGTACTTGTGCGCCCATCGGTCGACGCAGTTGTACGTGGCGTTGAGGCGGCCCTCGTTGAACCAGGCGACGTCGCCATTCTCAAAGCCGCCGGATCGGACCGTCTTGAAGGGAACGTCCCAGTCGATGATCTCCTTTGCGATCTGTGTGGTTCAAAGGGGCGGAAGTCTGAGTCAGTCATCCAGGTCTTTCGCAATCACGCACGGCTCGGATCTGCCGCCGCTGCGGATCTCGCTGCTCGGATGTGCCAGACATCTGCTCAGCTACTTCGTGATACCGCGCTCCGGAACTAGACGGAGCGTGTTGCGTCCGGAAGCGCCGATCCGGAAGCGCCGATCCGGAAGCGCCGATCCGAAAGCTGCGTGGGAATGGACGGTCGACTCACCTTGCCAAAGAACTCGTCGGTGTTTTCGATCGACTGCGGGTAGTCGGTCTGGTACTTTTCAGCGGTGACGTGAGGAGCGGGACGTCCGTCTTTTCCCAGGAGGCGGGAAGGCACGTCGTAGCTCTGCACCTCGGGCACTTCAGCCTCGGCCATGTTGCGCTGTGTGTCGGGAGTATTGATGCTGTCGAGCGAACGGTCGGTCGGGGGAGCGGGACGGACGGTCGCCTGTCTATCGGGTCGAATTTGGAGTGCTGATCCGAAATGTGCTGGTGGGCTTCGTTGTCGTTGAGACGTAGACGAAGGATATACGGAGGAGGACTAGGGACGAGGTAAGAAGGGGAAAGTCTGGGCCTATATAGTCCGGGCGCTAGGACGGTCGGATCGGAGAGGGAGGCGGCTTGCGGGGGAGGCAGTTAGAGTGGCGCTGGGTTTGGCCGGTCAGCTGTGCTCGGACGGCTCTCGACGATGAGACGTCGACGGTGCGTGCTCGGGCGGAGAAGGCGGCGTCGGCGGCAGCGGCCGCACGAGCAGAAGCCAGCTCGCCAGCACGGGAGCGATCGAAGCGAGGCGCACTATGCGGTGAGCGAGCCAGCTCAACTCCACATTGCGAAGAGAGAGAGAGCGTAGCGTCAGTGCGGACGTCGGCTCTGGAGCGGCAGAGGAGCGAAATGCCAAGTCCAAGCCCTGCTGCAGTGGCTCACCAGCCCGCCTCTCTCTCTCTCTCTCTCTCTCTCTCTCTCTCTCTCTCTCTCTCTCTCTCTCTCTCTC